AGGGATATATATAAATTCTGTTTGATAAATATATACAGCATTCAGTAGGCACGCTTTCTACCCTATGATTGCTCTTTGTCAATCATTTCCACACGGATTTCCAACTCACACAGGTGACCAAGCAGTTTTTCACAGGCTACCTTTCAACTCGTAAGGTAAACAATGACGCACAATAAACTTTGTCAACAAGCTCGCTCCTGGGCATTGCTAGGAGATTTTCCAAGTTTTTAATCATAGTGTACGGAACTTAGGAGTACAATGCTTTAAGCATTATAAAATATATACGAAATTCTACTCTAGTTATATGATTCATAATTTATATCATATAAATATGCATCGGCTCAGGTTGAGATAAAAGAACACATATTGGCCATGAATGATCTGGTAAAGTCATGTAAATACAATGAGGAGCGCTTTGACTCCTTAATAAAACATCAGAGTGAGAATCAACACTCCATACCATGTTCATCGGGGACAATATGTGTAAATAGCAATAACTCCTTATTTTCGCCAACACTCTATGACGGTGCCATAACACAGAATAAAAACTTAAAAAGTAGTTTAAATATTAAAAAACATAAGGTTATTATGTATTGTGATGACATAGGTAAAAATTTGGGCATGATGTTAAATAACCATTTAAAAGGACAATTGATTAGTAATTATTGTATGCCTGGAGCATCCTTTAGTCATATAATGAATAAAGTTTTAACCAGTAAGTTTTCTCCTAATAGCACATTAATAATTCTTGTTGGGAGAAGAGGCAATGTAAACAAAAATCAATTACTAAAATATATTGATTACCTCAATACTATAAATGTACATAAAATTACCTTGTTTACATTGCCTTATGTACAGGGTTGGCCACAGGAGAATAGAATAAGATATTATTTAAATTTATTAATGAATAATTTATCATGTAACAATAATTTAAATTTGACATTTAATTGTAACAATTATACCAATAGAATTAATTTAATAGATATTAATAATTTAATTAAGAAATTTTTGACTACAGATAGGTATTACCTATCCAAATATAATTTAAGACAGATAGCAAATGTGCTATCTTATTATTTATATATTAACTCAGCCAAGGACTTGGCTACCCAGACATCTGCTCCTATTGAGCAGCTATAATGATTTGACATGTAATTTGGAATCCGTTTCCATAGTAATTGTAAATGGTATTTTGCTATGGGGACACGCGACTGACACTGAAATTATATTTATTTTACAGAAGAGGGCCATTAGAGCAATGTATAATTTAAAACCAAAAGAGTCACTGAGACAAAAATTTAAGGAAATTAATATATTAACTCTGGCCTCTCAATACATTTATGAAAATGTAATGTACGTACACAAAAATAAAAGTAGTTTTGCGAAAATAAGTGATATTCATTCTGTAAATACTAGGAGCAGACACAAGCTGGTAGTACCAGTTACTCGACTCCACCGAGTCAGTAATTCATTCTTGGGGCGATGTATACGCTTTTACAACAAAATCCCAGAAAATATACAAAATTTGTCATACACAAAGTTCAAAAATGTTATTAAACGAAGTTTGTATAAAAAGGGTTAATATAATATTAAGGAATTTATAGATGATAATAACCCCTGGGAAGGGTGATCGCTACCAAGCTATTTCTAATTTGTCTTGTGTTGTTGATTGTAAACATGATTGTAAGCTATTATTAAAAAAAATAGTCCCGCTGGGTTTCTTGCTGGTTCTTCCCAGGACAGAGGTTTTTTTTTGCGAACCAGTGGTAAATTAAAAAAGTGACTTTCAATAAGTATTTTTATAATCTACATTGAATAAAAAAGTTTCTATTTCTATTTCTATATATTAACAACTTCAACTCTGGCCTGGGGCTCCCCAGTGCCAGCTCCTTCCATTTGATCTCATCCAGCGCGGAGCTGTTCGAATCGTTGGCGACCGAGCTCTTTCCGATCGGCTAAACTCACCGGCACTGCGGAGAGATGTTGCATCTCTTTGCTTATTTTATCGCATTTGCCACGGGGAGTGCTCTGAGGAATTGTTCGGCCTAATTCAAGCCACACAATTTCACCATCACACATCGAGACAAAACTCGCGATACCATCCATACCATCTTGATGACTGACGGTCCACTACAGTGCCATTTGAAAGAAGTTTTCTTCCTCGCACAACTTTCTTGTTGAATCTACTACCACGAGAACTTTTTCCGGACCGATACAACTTAGGGACATTCAAGAAAAGAGCCTACTCCCTTTTAAAAGGCCGGCGACGCATCTGCAATTCCCCTGGTGTTGCAGTTGCTCATGGGCGGCGGTAATCACTTATCATCACGTGAGCCGTATGCTCGTTTGCCCCTGTCTTATAAAAAACATAAGTATTGACTTTATATCAGATAAGATTTTAGGGATTTCGAAGTGAGACATAAAGTTAATAAAATTAAATAATTCTAGAGGTTCTAACTTATAAAGAAGGTGGTTTAAAGGTACTTTAGATTGTACAAACGTTATTTGCACATTATTAGTGTAAGAATACTGCTCTCAAGGGTATGATAATAAGTATTATAATCTGGTTAGGATTTTGATGGTGACATATGATTGGAATGAAGAAGCGTGATAGCTAGGCTCAAAGGATAACTCTTATGATGTAACGCTTTTTATCATATTTTATATAGCGTAGAGAGTGACGTAGATCGGCACCAATTAAACTGCTATTTTAAGTGCTTTTTTTACCGTCTGCAGGTTGCTAAAAGTGATTTCATGAGAACACCTTCATGTTTTGAAAAAAGTCCAAAACATTTGAAGTCTGAGAAACCCGTTGACGGAGTGCGAAAGATTATTCTTTGACATAATGGAGATAGTAAGTTATTTTTTTCCAAACTATTTGGAAAAAAATAACTTACTATCGCCCTCATGATATAGTTTTAGGTCAGGTAAATCTACGTCCGATGCGATTCATGACCTTACAAATTATATTGTTACAAACTTGGACAATGGGCAGAAAGTTCTCGGCATTTTTCTAGATCTCGGTTTCTGTACCCATCCTTTTACGTAGGATGGAGAGTATGGGAATTAGAGGTACTCAACGACGACTTTTTGAAGACTACTTGAGTAGACGTACTCAGTGCGTTCAGGTGGATAAGTTCGTCAGTGCCGAATGCACAACTACCTATGGAACGCCTCAGGGCAGCGTACTTTCTCCAACCTTATTTCTCATATATATTAACGAACTGGATATGCTCACTCTCCCTAAAGGGTGGATCATAAGTTTTGCAGATGACACTGTCCTCCTTTTTAGTGCAAGTACATGGCAAGAAGTCTATGCGTACGCCCAGTTGGGCTACAACATTGTCTCAAATTGGCTTCAAAATAACGTACTGACACTGAACATAGACAAAACATGTTATGTCCCGTTTAGATTAAAAAACAACACATTAACCACATCATCTCTACCACATACCATCGTAAGTCACTCGTGTTCCAATCCACTCAATAATGCAGATACCTGCACATAACTACGTCAAGCTGACAGAGTAAAATATCTAGGAGTTATAATCGATAGCACTCTACGTTTTCATGAACACATTAATACCCTTAATAGCAGGTTGCGTAAATTAATATATGTATTTAAAACTCTGAGAGACGCGGCGGATGATAAACTAAAGAAATTCGTATATTTTGCCTTCGCACAATCTCTATTAACATATGGTATTACCTCCTAGGGCGGTGCTCAAAAATCAAAAATGGTCCAATTGGAGCGAACGCAGGGAGCATCCTACAGAGCTCCTATATAAAGAGTTGAAAATATTAACTGTGCGGCAACTGTTTATACAAAAAACCTTACTGAAACAACATGCTCTATTAAAGTACAATCCCTCACTCTCCCGAGGTAAAATGCGTTTTAACCCCGTGGACCGCACTCATATAACTCTATCCACCAAACTATCTAAACGTTTCTTTTGTCACCATGGAGGTTTTATATACAATAAAATCAATAAAATTATCCCCATATTTAACGTCAATAAGACTACATGCAAAAAGAAAATAACTCTCTGGCTTCAAGAATTAAATTATGATGACACTGAAAAGCTTCTTAGTAATCCTAACTAATAACTATCCGTACTAAAGTTAAATACTAACTCAATCCTAAATTTAATCTCTAACCCAGTTACAAATTAACAAACAAAAGCACGCACACAAACAAACACACACACACACACACACACACACACACACACACACACACACACACACACACGCACGCGCACACGCACACATACAACAGACTAATAATACCACCAGATTTCAATAAATATTAAATACTAGTTAGGTAAAAGAAGGTACATTATGTAAATTACAAATATGGTACATGTACATGATAAAAGTATTTTAATTACAACCATAGGGCGGAGACCTGGTGGCCTGAAATACAGGCGTAAAGCCTAGCTTATGCACCGGTCTCCAAAGTATAACATTAAGGTATAATATTCTAATATTATGTACAATAATTCTGTAATATTGTGGTGAGAAAATAAATCATTTATTATTTATTTATAAAACTCTCTTTGGAATTATAGGAGGTCTGTGTTAAGATGTGGCACGTATGTATGCTGTTAATTTACTTTTAATTTAATACACATAATAGAATATCTTTTTTAATTTGTTTTATCGTAAATGTTTTTTAAATTATAAAATATCCTGCCTAACCAACCTATTAGACTCCAATAGTCTACAGAAGATAAAAAAATTATGCTAAATCAACGCACGATAACACGCATTTTCACCCTGGTTTGAGATCAATGAGTTATTGAATTAAACTGATATTTATTTTTGGCCTGTGTTGTCTGGAATAATAAAATTAAAAGCGTTTATATATGAATTAATAAAAATATTTATTATATATTTTTATAAACAGCCATATTATCGTATCAATAAAAAAATAACAACATTAATTTATATCTAAGAATTAGACTAGATAACAATACCACTAAAATGCGGGGATTTAATTATTTCCACGCGAATTGCTTTACGATATGAGCGGGTAAAAAGTGTGCTGGACTTAGGTATTTTCCATGATGATAAAAGTTATTTGCGTAAGGTGATATGCTGTATGTTGGTGCAACAGCTCTTACAATCGGATTAAACGGCACAATTGATTGGACGGGGACTGCGTTGAAAAATCTTGTTGGTGCTACCGCTGGTGCAGAGGGAAGCACTGGTAACGCCGGAGTTATTCTCGGTAACACAGGCGCAATAAACTGTGCTGTTGGTGCAACAGCACGGAATGCTGGTGCATAAGCTGTTGCAAATGCGGGCGCTGGTAATGCTGGCGCGGGCAACGGTGCTGGTAGAGCTGGCGCAGGAGCAAATGCTGGTGCTGGCAGGTACGATGCTGGTAATGCAGGTTGAGGTAAAACTGGCGCTGATAACGGAGCTGGTAGCAATGGCGCCGGAACTGGTGGCGCTGGAGCAACAGCTGGTAGTGGAGGAGCTACAGCATGTATAGATCTCACTCCATTAGGGAAATTAAAGTACGGAGCATATCTTACAATTGGGAAGGATCTTACTGCTGGTACGAAATGTCCTATTCCGCTAGCTTGGCAACTTGCTATGATGGTAGAGATGAAAATGACCTGTTAACAAAATAAACACATTGTTATAATTCTAATAATTGCCAAAAAACTTTTAATTTAAATTTGACTTACTAATAGAGCCATATTTAAGTCACAGATACGACTGAGTTGGTCGAGAAGCAAAGTGATGTGTGATTATGAATGTATCACAAGTCCAATATATAGTTCATACTATTGCAAGCATTACGACTATATTGATCCTCATTGTTTTCACTTTCCTTTGACAGGATGCATACGTGCTCAATTAGAAGTCAATACGGGCATCATCGGTTACCGAACGACTCGCACACTTGACCATCAACGGAGTGTTTATATAACTTAAAGAGGTTTGTAGGTAAGGGTTTATGTAGTAATCAAATGCAATAATTTATTATAAGCCACTTTTGTACTACAACTTGGTACAATTATAACGATCAAACTGATTTCATGGCCCGCCTCGCCACTGACATTTTGTTAGTGTGCATCCGTATTTTTTAATTGTGTTATTTTGTTAGTTGTTGTAATTAATTGTGGTATAGTGTGGCAGTTGGTTTAAACATGTACATGTTTAAACCAACTGCCAACTACACCACCAATCTCGAGTTTGTCTTTTTACTTATATAGTCAGGGGTATGGATATTACGGCCCGTTTAAATTAGACATTGACAGACTGGTATTTGAGGAAACTTATTAATAAATAATATAATTAATAAAATAATAATTAATAAATATTAATAAATAATAAATTAATGAAAGAGTATTGAGGTTCCTTATGAAAAATTTGTCCGAAAGAAGTCTGGTTTTCGGAAGTCACACTACTGTGAAAAATAAGTCATATTATGTTCGAACTATGCATTGATAACTTCCTTCAAATTTATCAGTGATTTTATAATGAAATATATTTATAAGTATATTAAAACCATTGGAAATAATAATTCAAATGTTAGATTATAGTTATTATAGGGAAAGTTAAAGCATAAGATGACCCGAAAAGCTGGTCGGGGTTAACCCCTTTACAGAGTAAACTACAGAAATAATTTCAGTCAGCAGATCACAGCACACGTCGGTCAACTCACCTCAAAAGCCAGGTCCAGATATTTTGTCTTCTTATGTGTCGACTTTCACGAGGTTCTCGATGTGCCATTTTATAATAATGTGGAATGTGCTACTGTATATACATATATATTTATAATTATATATCAAATATATATTTTTAAAATCAAGCTCAGGGAGTTACTTATGTGCTGTTAAGACATAAATCATCATCATTGCAGCCCTACTCTGCTCCCGAGCATAGGCATTCCCCAAGAATTCCACAAAGCACAGTCCTGAGTCTACATCGTCGAATTCCTGCATTAATAATTAACAAGACATAAATAACTATTAATAATATTTTCGTCTGTCTGTCTGAGATTAGGTAGTTAGGGTCACATTGATATAATATGTATAAATTATAGTCATTGTTGCAATAAATATTTTCAAAGATTATGAAACTGATCAAATTATTGCGTTAGAAAAGCGAAGAGAATATTGTGAGCAAATCTTTCTGTATAAAATTATTTCAATTTAATTGATACTCTTCGTATTTTGCAAATTGTTTCTTCAATGCTGCAGACCCAATTTTCACCGATAATATATTATTTTATTCCATTATGTAGAACAAATTATCATACATACTGCTTTGTAGCAATGGCACGTAAAATATAACGAGCAATATAATATCGTTGACATATTCAAAATAATTTATATGAGTTTACATCCATCGTTGTACAAATTCGATATTAAAGTAATTCTGTACCTTGTATTTACTGTATTGTTTAATCTCAAAAAATAATCCGTGACTGCTCGTCGGTCTAGTGGTCGTAAACGAGAATGCTGGTCAAGAGGTCCAGGTTTCGAACTTGATTGTGGATACTATTTTTGACTTAAGATATATTTTGAATTGTTTTCAAAACATATTTTAATCAATATGCTGTTTTCTTTTCAAATAAAGTTATCGCAATGGCGATTAACACCGTAGTCCCCCTAGGGTCCGTTCTCTTCGCAATACTCTTCCAGCTGCATATTAATTTTCACGGGATTGTTTGAAATGAAAATTTCTTTAGGCACATTGGGCACTTTTGGGATGAGGAAAAATCACTAAACTCGCGTAACCGTCACGTTCAGATACAGACAATATTAACAAATTTGTGAAGCTAAGAAGTCTTAACTTTTCACATTTCATCTTGTGGTAAGATAATGCTGTGGTCTATAAACATCGACATCTATCTGCGATTAAGAATCAAAATGCAGGCTCGTTGTCACCCCTGAAGACTAAAATAGAATGCCTCGTTTCCAGTAAAAAGAGTCTCCGATACTCTATATTAATCATTCGAAACGCAGCAATACTAAGCTGCTATTTTACGTTGGTATTGGTTTAATCATAAACAGCTACAGAGTGGCACCACCATGTAAAGTACTTCATAAATTGCAATTATGCTATAAATATAACCTGACCTGAAATACGTGGAAGTCATTGCTGTCCCCCTTGTTATTTCAAAAGCGTTTGACAAAGTCTGGTAAACTAGCCTTTTAGACAATCTTTCAGTAAACAGCTTATCCCCTTATCTGATTAGATAGGTGAAGGAGGTTTTTTACAGAAATCTTTATAATAAGACAATAGAAGTCGCATAGACGCGTGACCTTGTCGCCGCTATGATGTGTTAACGAACATCATTCACCATTTTGTGATTTAGTTGCGTAGGGGAACGTCCTACGTGAATTTATGTTATTACAAATTTATAATGGTGAACTGCAGCACAATCAGTTGTAAAAACTCATTTAGGACATGTAATTCAACTAATAAAGTCATAACATTTCATCGGTAAGTTGATTATTTACTAATTATCATTGTTTTAACTAATTTACACCTAGATGAATACTTTACTATGATATTTACCTTTGTAAACTTTCATTTATTACTTTTCGTATTGTACAATTACCATTGCTGTTTTTGTTCTACCGTAATATGCGACGCACGCGACGTTGACAAACTCGCCAAGCAATTTAATGTGAAACATTAGATATCATTGTGTATTGCGTATGTTTATAATACGGTAAGATGTGGCGACATCGGTTTTGGAAGTATTTTTATTTTATTAAAAAATATTAATTATTATAAAAGTAATCGAGCGCTAAATCATTTCTATTGTCTTATTATTACTATTTCTGTTGAGTTTTTAGTGAACAGTCTCTCTTAGTCGTTATTGATGGCTGCTAAGGAACCAGCTCCTTTTAGTTCCTTATTTCCGAATCGACTTACCCAGTATTTATACCAAAAGGTTTGCTTCATAGTTCTTCGTGCAACAAAGGAGTGGAATTAATTGCCAGCAAGTGGGTTTCTTCAAAGCAAGAGTGAATAGGCTTTTGTTAAGTCAGCGCTATTTAATATCTGTGACTGCATTTCTACTTACCATCTCAAAGATGGGAAAGTAGTCAAGCACGGACTTAGAAGAGTTTAAAAAATAAAGTAAAAAAAACTTTGTGAAAAAATTCTATGTTATAGAACGTTGAGCAGAATATTGAGTATGTGTTAAATTTGACTAATAGAATCGACACGTGATCAATTATTTAATCATCAAGGATGTTTAACAAAATTATGTGTTATTAAACGTTCTAATATTTTTCTAAACGAGTTTTCGACCCTTAGAGCACAGAATACTCTTAACTACAAGGTACCTTAAGAATACCTTCTTGGGGTTGGAACTGTTTATTACATAGTAGATCCCTGATATGAAGCTTTTTTGCTTTTTAATAGTTTATTATAGTAGTTAAAATAAGAAACAAATATTAATTAAGAACAGTATGATGTATTACGGTAATGGCGCATTGTTTTTGCAAAATACTGAAGTAAATCCATTGACCTAATTTCTAAATGTAAATGGTTAGTAAAGTAAACAAGTACATAATATTTAGTCCATGGTCGAATGGCGCTCTAAATACAGCGCATCGTCCCAAGAATAACCATATTTGAAGTGAATTTAAATGAAGCGCTTCACCAAATTAATTTGTATTCATCAGGTGCAGTTTGCTGATGAGCTAGTGAAATGTTTTACGACTGATAGCGAATATATCAAAATAATTGAACAATTTTTTTTATTGTTAAAAGAATATTAAAAATGCTATTAACATTACTAATATTCTACTTAACCACTCGTGGCTTCGATCAACAATACCAACTAGATAACGGATCACGTACAAAATCATAGCTAAATACTGTCCGCATGAATATAAAATATGAAAAGATATAAATTAAATAACATTTAGTGTGTAATCAACCTTAAGTTATAACAAATAAAGTTCTTTTTCCCGTAATTGCCTTGCGAGCTACACGCTCACGTCTCATGTGCGCTCTT